TAAAAAATAACCTCAGACAGAAGAAATATGGGAGCAACCTGGTGCTTGGGTGTCATTAATTGAATAGTTAAGGCAATTAATGCAGTACAATGTGTTAAAGGTCAAGTAAAGGTACAATACTTGGTTGTAAATATTAGTGTATAGTCATTATTAAGAGAGAACAGTTTGTCCATTTAGTTTTATAGAAAGATGGTGCCATAAAGTTCTGTCTCGTACTCACTTCCCGTCTCATTTCAAGGAACACTGTGCACCTGTCATTTTACTTCCTAATCTTTTAAAGCCTCCTTAAAATGTGCCTCCAGAGCTAACAAAATACCTTTTTCCTGTCTGCTTTATATGTAAATAACAGATTCATGAAAGAGGTTTCCTTTGGTTGATTGGCTTGGTTTCGTTTCAGAAATTACAGAGCAAGTCAGTTGTAAAGCTCTGCAGTTTCCATTAAGTGGCAAGTGTTTTAGATGTTGTTTCCAAATAATGCTGATGATTGCAGAACCATCACAGAAAATAAAATAAGTTCCTTGACATGAAGCAAATTCTGTTAGGACTAAGAAAGCATTCTTCTTCTTATAATAAGCTGAATAAGTTGCTGATTTTGATTTGGGGAAACAAGAAGTTCCTAAGTCTATTTTCAGAATTCCTCTTTCAATGAAGAACTGAGTTCTTCTGGTATCTGAGATTGAAGTTGTCCAGTATTGCATAATTAAATGCTATACGGGTTTTGAACACAGAGACCAGTTTAGCTTCGCAGCAGACATATTAAAAAACATCACATCAATATCTGGAAACTTGTTCATTAAGATGTAGAGTAGACAAATAATAAAAACAAGACATAAAGCATTTTGAAACTTAACAGAGAGGTTTTCAGGCCAAACTGAGTCAAATCTATCATAATTTCCTTGCTAAAGAGAGAATATTTTAAGTTTTGATGTGTTGAGTGGTCATAGTTGACAAAAAAGACACAGTTAGATCAGTTATTTATGATTTGATCACCATGAATTCAGTAAAGGAGCAAGATGCAAAAAGAGAAGCGGAGCACACACTGTTTGTCCTCAAGGGGTTAAATACATGTAGTTTAATCAGAATCAAATTCCGAACTTTGAAGTCCATTCATCCATGGAATATTTTTCTCTAAGGAACTGGTAGAAAAAGCTAATAGAGTTGGAAAAAGCACTGAAATGTGTAGGGAGACTTCTTGATTGATTGCAGTGGGAGTTCAGTGGCGAGAGCAGATGGAGATTAGAAAAATAAATCACATGGCCCACACTGGCAAAAATTAAAGGTTCAGGTGTAGTCACACAAAGATTCGTCATTGTAAGCTTAATGGAAGCAGTGAAGAGGCACTTGATTGTTTAATACAAGACTTTGCAGCCTGCATTCATAATGTTTTCTTTTCTGCTGTTATGTGAAGGAGAAATGCACCAACAAACTGGAGTTGGAAATTAGTAACACAGCAGTGAAGAATTACTGTTTTGAGCTAGGTTTGCCATTCCCTTCCATCTGATAGAAACACCATGGTAAGAAAGCAGTTCTAGATGCTGTATCACTGAAATTACTCAAAATTGTAATGAATGGCTTTTTGGAGAATATAGAGCAAAAAACATCATTAGAGATGTCAAAAATGTACGCACTTCCCCCCACATTAGATACTAGTTTGCCATATTGTACATAGCATTATTCTGTTCTTAGCAGTGCAAACTATTCAGAAGTAATTTCTGATTGCACCTTTACTTGTGTAGCTTCACTGTTTCCAGCAAATCCCTAAATGAAGTATGAGAGGTAAAAGCTTCAATTAACGAAGAGACCCTAACCCCCTTCCAGCCTCCTGACCGCTTCATTAATAGTGTACAAGAAAATACCTGATATCATTATTCAGAACATCTTTTCAATTTGCTCTGGGCAGAACTGATTGAATAATAAGTGTTAACACTGAATATGTTATTGTCTTTGGAAGGTGAAAGCATGACTGATTTTCTATGATGGGGTAGAAGAGAATGTTTCTGTGTGTAATAGAAAAACTTGTTATTATTTTGTGATATTAAAAAATCACAAATATTTTGACTTGGATTGCTGCTTCTTGTAGACCAGATGAGATAGATATATTACTGACAGCATCTACTTTCTAATGGCTTACTGAAAGGACTCAGAAAATACTAAAGTACAGAAATATAAGTAGCCCAAATCATATTGAAATACATACATTGAAAACTAGTAGAAAGGACAGGTAATAAAACCCTAAAAAAGTTTGAAAGGCTCTGTATGAAATCGGTTTTGAGTCGGTGTTTCCCAGTATGTCTAGAATGCCTTGATACTGTATTATGATAGTGAATTCCAGTGTAAAGTAATTGTGCATCATTTCTGTATCTTGTTAAGCACTGGGAAACTGTAATTTCAACCTGTACTGCAAGAGATCCATGTCGTTAATAGCTGATTTTCTGGGATAGCTAAAAAATTTAAAAAAAACCTTCTAGACCCAGAATTTGGCCTATAAACATGCAAAGCTTGAAGAATATTGCTGACTAGCAGTACAATAATCCCCTACCTTCTGTTTTCTAGAGGCCTTTGTAAGAGTTAAGAATGACGCTTACTCAGAGTATTGATAGTAGCAGCCAGAAAAGGCATTTCAACATTGCAGCCTGGGGAAGAAACCTCTGCAACTGAATTGTCCTCTTACAAGCAATAAAAGACGTTGAATGCATCATAGATCAAATGGAAACTACTTTGAATATTGGGTGTGTGGTGGATTTGTTGGGTAAAGCACCCAGTGAAGAGGCAGTATTTTCTGCTTTCACTGCACAAAATATTCTGTTACCCAGAAATTTCATCCGAACAATTTCTTTAGTCTGTGTGCAACATATATGTAGAGGAAATGTATTTCTTGCACGCATCTGTGTCACTGAGTTCTACTAAGAACATGACCTGTGCCCAGATATAACATCATTTTAACCAGTATCTGTGCAGTTTGGTGGGATCTCAAATTCCTAAAGATTGTCAGCTGTTTTCCCACTGTATTTTTTTTTAACAGCTTCCCAGGCAAGCACGACACTCAGTTGCACGAATGATACACAAGAAATTATTTAGCTGTACAGCTTCTCAGCTTGTACAGCCTGGTATAGTTGTGTTGAAGCTAACTGTCCTCGTGGATTTACCCTAGCTGAGGATGTGATACTCTTTGTGCCAATGCAGCAACTGAACAGCTAGGAGCCAACAGCCAGGACTGCTTGCTGGAGCGGACAAAAATATGACATTCTTGATGACCATTCCTCTTGTAAATCTCAGCATGATTTGTGATGGAGTGTGATATAATGGTTCCAAACTGAGATGTACATGTTACATGCAACAACCTCACAAAACAGCTCACTTCTACCAACCCAACTCACTTCTACCAACCCTATCCCTTCCCTAACAGTCTTCTCTTTACTGATGTGTGTTAGCTTATGTGCTTATTCTGCTAGCCCATACACTTACTAGTTAATACTTTTTTAACCAGCATATCTAAACTGAACTGTCAATACCACTCTTTGTCCCAAACTTCTGCTACTTTGTGGAAAAAAAAAAAAAATCCAACTCAGGCCAAAACTAGCGAGTCAATTCTGTTATTTTTATAAGATTTTCATAGGAATGCCAATGAAAATATTCTTAAGTTACAATGGGTGTAACACAGGATTTTCACATTACCCCCTCCCTCTGGGGGAAATCCATAACTTTGTCTACAGTGTGAACTTCACTCATATGGGTCAGGGCAGATTTACCCAGTCAGTGTGTTTGTTTCCACTTCCATTTTCATTGGCACAAAACCAAACAACTAAGGGGAAACAGGCAGTGCAGGGCCCCCACCCTGGCCCTGAACATATTTTCTTCTATTGTAGCTGGTTCCCTCAATTTCCCAGATCAATCAAAACCTACTGGAGTCACTGCTGTGATAAAGTCAGTTGCTGTCAGGAGGTAGGATATTTGTGCTACAGCAATCCAGAGGGGTCAGAGCTTTTAGTGGCAATGATAACCCAACAGAAACAAATACCTACTGGATTTCAGCATAAAATGGGCCCTGGGGGTGGTATGGAATATCTGGAAGTACACTGAATTTCTAATGGTTTCTGTATTGTGCTAGCATCCCACTCTGAGAGAATGAAGAGCATCAGCTCTGATCTTTCCAGGGCTGTCATAACGTTTTGGAGATTTGGCGTATAATAAATGCCAATAATGTCAATATTTCGATGACTCTGGCTGGTTAAGATGCTAGTCTTGAGAAGTCAAGAGGTCAATTCCCTGAAATGTCCTGTCCAAAGTCTCGACAGCTTGCATATGAATGGTACACCCTAAATCGGTGTAAAGTTCCAGTCCGTCTGTGTCCCTTACGAAAAGGATTAAGAATCATGCTGTGGTTTATATATTTATTTATGAGAAAATAAATAACAACATCTCTCAGTGTTAGCACCATGTTACACAGGACCATGTCATGAGGAAGTGCAGTTCAGCTCCTGCTGTATTGGTTTTAGTGAAAAGTCTGCTACTGGGTTTAGCGGTAGCTGGTTACTGTCTCCGTTCATGGTGAATGCTTCCTGAGTCAGTAATTTACTATTCTCACTTCTGCTTTTCTAATCTTAACCTCAGATTTGAAAATTAAGCTTTGTTCTTCCTGATTTTTTTGGTACATTATTACTGTTACTGACCTCAAGTGTATCCTGGAAGATGATTTTAATTATCGTGTTAGAAACAGGATGTACTACCACGTGTTTCGCCCGGATTTACGTGTAGTGTTTGAACCACCAAAACTAGCGAGACCCGCTCTATTGACTCCTACGTAAGATACACAAGATAGGGCCTCATGCTGTGCCTCGCGTGGCTGCTTTCCCTTTCCCACACATGCTCTGGCCACCTCTGTTCCAGTAAATGAGACGTGCCCAGGGCTGTTCTCTGCTTCAGAGGCCAGCTTATGCTGTGTCCCAAATGCACGTAGTTACAAAAAATGAGGGTAGCTGTATTTGGGTTGCATGTTGGGAATGGTCCCTGACATGTGCTGGCTGCCGAGCCGTGGCCAGGAAGGGTTTGGAGAAGAGCTGGCTGGGCTCAGGGTGAGCCTTGCGCTGCGGTCAGGCGGGCAGTCGAGTCCCGGAGCCTGGGGTTGGGCCCGCCATCAAGGTGGAGCTGTTAGTACAGTTCCTGATCACTTGGTTGAGGTTAGTTTCAAGCATAAGCCATGAGGTTTACAATTCCTTACAGTTATGTCTCTTTTTAGCAATTATTATATACCTGGAGGGATTCAAAGGTCTTACTAGATACATGGAAAAATGTCTGTTGGCTTTCTGAATTTTATGTTCCCTGCTTTGATACTTTTCAGGTCAGAGTTCCACAGGCTGACGTAAGATGAGAGAAAATACTGTCTTTTATCAATTTTCAATTTGCCGCATGTAATTTCATTAACGAAGTGCCTTGTTCTTGTCTTACAAAAGAGAGAAAATAACGAGTTCTAATTTCATGTGACAGAAAATGTAATTTGTTAATAATCTGATAAGCAAAAAGGGTTAGAGCAGCAGAAAGCAGGAATAATAAGTGACTTCACAGACAACAGTTACACTTTCATATATGTCTATGTATTAGCCTGTAACGAGTTGGTTTTTTTTTCCTGGCATTTCATTATTCTTAGGTGCACCGACCGGTTCAGCCATTTAAAGCGTGTGCTGCAGGACATAATGCATCAGCAAAAGAAGATGTGAGGCAAGCTGATATGACTGGCCAGGGCATAGTACTCTCTTTGTCTCCTGGCTTCAGTGGCCAAAACCCAATTGTTGAATTATTTTGTGAGAGCACAATCTTGTCTTTCATTGAATTATAAAAGGCTCTGCCAGGGTTATGTGCTATTTCCAGTCAGGAATATGGAGGCTTTAAATTCTTGCTGGGTACAAGGAGTACTATGCAGATGATGCAATGGGAATGATGCAGAATGAAAGTCTGGACTGAGGTTTTAATAGTGCTTAAAATAGTGTTTTCTTACAAATCAACAAAAAAGTCACATTTGCAAACTAAGAATAACACAGAGATGAAAGAGTCTTCCTACTTACATCTTTGTTATACTCACGCTGTGCAAAATGCATTTGACTGTGTGTTGAAGCTTTCACTAGGATAATGTAAAATTTCACTCATATAAAGCTCATAAGATTTATTTTTTGAATTACGCTGGTTATATTACTGATGAGTCTATGCAGGTGGTTTCACATAAAACCTGGTAATGTTTATACTGCTGGGGATTCTATATATTCTACACCTATTAATATAAATAAGTATTTTAGGAATGTTTTAGAGAATTATTTAAATTGTACTGGCTTTCATTTTTTGATGACCTTCACTACATTGCCAGGTATTTTAGTGACCAGCAGTTTAACTGTTGAGTTTTTGGAGAATTTTAAAACCCCTCAAAGGTGAGCTGAAATATATTTCTCCATGCACAAGTTGTCCAGCATCAAAGCCTGCTAGTGATGCCTTTGCAGAGCTGAAAGTTAGTAAAACATCCTGCTGTTGAAGGGTGATGGCATGGGTTTGAACTCTATCCAGAGGAATAATGCTTCCATTTTTAAGTGGGGAGGGCAGGGAATAACAGACTTTGACATGGTGACATTTTTAGAAAGTTCATGACTGAATTAAAATTAAACCTTGCCTTTCTTGGTGTTTAGGCAGAAAGTAATTTGGGAAGGAAATTCAAAGATTGGAAGGAACTATTTCTTTGAGAGTTTGATATAAAAGATCAACCTCTTGCTCCTCCCAACTTGGGAATCTAGAATATGCCCAGTGGGTTGGCAATGAATGGAAGAAAGAGTATGGATTGCTGTGTAGACATTAGGCCAGGTGTAAAATGGTTCATGTTAATTATTTAATCAGCTTTTCACATGCAACCTGAGTCTCTGAGAGTGGACCATATGTTGGTCCAGTTATTGCTCCTTTCCTGAAAAGAAAAAGAAAATGAATGGCACTTAGAGAGGATAGCAGAGCCTTCCTTGCCACTCGGATCCGTGCCATGCCTCCCCTCTTGTTTTCATATGGCAGCAGTTACGGAGTCGTGCCCTCCTGTTCTGCTTTGAGGGGGCTGCAAGGCTGAAGACAGGACTGTAAAACTTCGAAGACAGGACTCAAAGGCATCATTGTGCAGGAAAGGACTTTAAACAGTTGCTGAATTTTAAGTCCGTGCTTAAATCCAAACACTATCTGTGAGATTTTAGGATCTGCTCAAGGTTTTTGTGAATTTAGGGCTGTGCACACTGTAGAAATGCTGAAGCAGAAGTGGTTCCATATTATCATTACAAATCAGAGGACATTTATATTTATCACAATCGCAGTCATATTTCCAACCAGCAGACCTCAGCCCTGTAACATTGTACATGCGGGGACAAACTTTTATACACATCAGGATGAGAGTCTTACTTCCCTTCTATTTATTGCAGAAATAAACCTTTTGTTGATTTTGTCCTTTTTTTTGTTGTGTTTTTTTTTTTTCTAATCCACATGTTTAGATAGTTAGGATTGTCTGTTTAATTTGAGGATTACAATGCATGCTAACATTAAATTATGTGTTGTGTATAGTAATTTTTATCAGGGCCAGCATACTGTAGCAAAATAACGATCTTTTTGGGAGATCAAAACAGCATCTACAATTTGGAAAGTAAATAAAGAAGCAAAAATAAACCTGCCTCACCTCCTCATTTGCACTTTCTCATGCAGAACTTGATCAAATTATGGGTTGCGCAGGGAGCAGACAGCATGGTTTGGTGTGCAGAGGCTCCAGAAGAGTGCTAAGCTTAATGTTTTGCATAAAAATCTATATAGGTCTTACCTTGTAACTATATTATGCGTGAGTAAGCAGAGCATTACTTTATATCCAGAGGGAATGACATGACACTTCTTTGCAATTAATATATCCACATTTTGTGTATAGGTATTTCTGTAGATTTACAGATCCCCTTTATGTTCAAAATTATTTTTTTAAAGTGAAGATAAGCTGCTGTTGAAGCCTTTGCCATGTGATAGCTGTTCTGGGTTTAGTGTTTGTGTCTCGTTGGAATAACATGGGTTTGTTTGTTCTGTAGCCATTCCAGCCCACCCACATCTTGGTGGTTTGGCCCTTCTTACTGCTTGTCTGCAGGTGTGCCCATTGCTGACCTCATTCACCCGTCTATTTGGAGTCATAAATACATTTAACCTAATGTTTGGCCATATCTCTGTTATGGCATCCTTGAAATAGGAAAAAAAAAAAACCAACAATTAATTTCTTGTTATAAAGCAAGACTTTTTCCTGCCTACTGTTCATCAAAGTAGGTATTTTTGCATACTGTCACAGTAAACGATTGTAAGGTTTCGCTTCTGTTTTGGACTTTGCCACATGCTTGCAAGTGCCTGCGTCACGTCACCTCTCCGTGCTTCTCTCTTACTTAGTTTGAAATGACCATCCTTGTAAGTGCTAATTTTTTAGATGTATGTAAAGTGCTTAAAGGTTCTCAGATGTCTACATGAAAGCAAATTATAATTAATTCTGTACTGCTTTTTGATGTCTAAAGTGCTAGGTACCATCACTAAGATTTTCTCTGGTGTAGGATTGGCCTGATTCTGTCAGGCAAGGAAGATTTTAGTGTTCACTTGTGTAAGATTAGACATAAACTGTTTTGTTTTGTTTTCTGATAATTTGATCCCAGAGCTACATAGGTTTCAGGATATTTCAGGGTATTTTCCTATGAAAGTTGTGTCCTCTACAGGGAGAAGTGGAGTTAATGCCAAAATGAAATCCAGCAGCATTCTATCTTAGTTTTATGAGGGAGCCTTTTAATGGATTTTTAAAAAAAATACCAGAAGTGTTAATTCAACCCACACCCGCTATCATTGGTATCCTGTGCCGCTGCCTACGCATGTGTAGTCATTTACACTTCTGTCAGGTGGAAAATGCTGTAGAGAAGGCCAGCTGCATGATACAGCTGGAAAAAGTAAAACCCAACACAAGGTGTGACTTCGCATGAAAACAAACTGGATAACGCACGAATTGCAAGCGCAGACATTTTTCCCCAGAGACTCTGTTTTCTTTTGATCCTAACCTTCTCAATCTTTAAGTCTTTAGGGCTGAAATAGGCAGTGTGCCAAGCTGGATTGCTTTTGTTCTTTTAAAAAAAATCTTGGCCAAACAAAATTGGTTGTCCAGCATTTCTCCAAGGTTGGGTAAGTGCAGAAAGGAAAGCAGGTGGGGCGGTAGAGGTCAAAACTCATGCCTGAGAAAGAAGCGCAGAATATAATAGGGCAAAAGATGAGGGTTTGGGGGAAAATGATGACAATGGAGAGAAGTACAGAAGTGTGAGAAGCTACAGGAAAATACATATATTAGCACAGATTTTGGAGGCAAGTTCTGGAATATGTTAGTCATGTAAGAAGAAATCAAAAAAAGAGAAATACGTGTGTATGGGAGGCGGTTATATACAGACTGTTTCCTTCCCAAATCTGCAGTTCAGCGTTGTAGCTCTGGGTCTGACTGTTGCTTCGGCTGCCTGCAAATGGCTTGTGAAAGTCACTTTCAAATTGTGTATCTCAGTGCTTACAAGTGTCTTCATGGCTTCCAATGGTGGAATTCTGTGCTGGGGCTCTAAAGAGACAAAATCAGTAGACAGGACAGGCTGGGCAATTAATTTTGTTCCATAGGATATGAGGTTTGCGTGTGCCCACATCTGTTTGTATGGTGCAATCTTTAGTGAGTCACATACTGTTTCCCTTAGCCCCTTGGTTTTAGGACAGTCTTCAGATGATTTGGCATAGTATAGGGAAGACTAGTATAAGGTACTTCGCTCTTCACAGAAATTAAAAGGTATGTATGTGAAATAGGCAGGAGACTCAGGAGAGTCTCATGGTTAGGAAAATTGGCAACCACGAGAACGGGATTCTATCCCTGCCTTTACTGATAGGTTCCTATTAAAGATGGCCAAATTGCTTTGACCAAAATTTTCCATTGGCCGCTAAGTACTCATTTTTGGATTTTCTACAGTGGACCGGATTGGCAGACTGCTCTCCCAGCTGCAGTTTAAAGTTATTGATAGTGTGCTTTGGACATACAAAACCCTGTACAAATACTAAGTAGTTAAGGAAAATCAGTACTCTCATTTCTTAGATTAGGAACCCAAAATCCATGGAAACTTTTGCCATTTTTGCCCATTATCTCCATGCCAAACTATATCCTTATAAAATGGGCACGATAGGAGGGAAAAAGCCATTTTCCCTGCAGTCAGTTCCCCTCCTGAAGTCAGTTAACATTTGTGAATCGCTTAGATAACTTTGGTGAAAGCTCCAGAGGAATTTATTAGTTTTTCTTTTTAGTATAGTGTTGAAGTGTCGTACTAAATACTTAATTATTCTTTTATTATAGGAAGTATGAGTCTTGCGGGGAAAAAAAAAGTGATTATGAAATGAAGACCATACTTCAGGATATTCTCATGATGGAGACAAATGAATTGCTCAGTGAAACTTTCAATTTAGGAAATGTTAAAATGAAGTGCTTGATTTCACTATATGGGGAGGGTGTTCATTTTGGTTTGGGGAAGAAAAGAAGGGGAGAAAAGATGAAAGCTTTTATTGGGTAAAATGTATTTAGAGAGTGAATTTCTTGTGGTCTAGGGTGATAAAAAATACTTGACAGGTAGATTCTGCGTATGTGGAGTTCCTAACCAAGGATCTCATACCTAAATTTGTTCTCATTAAAATCAGTAAAATATCTCAGATTGCTTGTAAAAATGTTTGTGGTGTGTATTGCAACAAGTATTCAGTATCCACAGTTCAGAACTGCTCTGGGCCAATGGGATTGCAAAATATCTGTCAGCTTTGGCTGATGGCCGAAGGTTGCCACAGCAATTTTTCTCTTTAATGAGTAAAATAGGTGGTGTTTATAGAAAAATAACTGTCTCATGAGAAGCTGTGCAAAAAGTTCCATTCAAAACCATTCTGTTTATATATAGTTTTGTTGTTTGTTTTCTTTTCTTTTTACTTACTACTGTGGACATTTGCATGAAAACAGGATATTTCTCCTTCAAATTGCAGTCATGGACAGAATAGCTACTATGCCAAAATGGAGCCAACCCACTTCAAAAAAACAAGCTATTTTGCTCACCAAATCTGTTTCTTCTGTGTATGTAAAGTTTTGAGCACTTATTTTCCTACCTAAATTTAGGGACAGTTTTTTTGCGCTAGGTCTGTAAAACCAACAAAACAATATGGATATAATAAACCAATAATATGTTAGTGAAAAGATTCAATGACTGAAAGAAACAATAACATAAATAACATTTGTGTTTTAGTATTTACAGCGACAGGCAGCAGGGATATAAGTATTTTTGTTATGTGTACAGACTTTTTTTACACAGCTTAGAAACAATGAAAAATACTCAAGAGAGAAATAAATAGAAGAACTGAGTCCTGTTTTGGTTGATGGTGATCAACAGAATTAATAAAGGCAGACTTCTCTTCAGAATGTCTATGTTCTTTCTGGTGGACAAATTTGACTTTTCCAGTCCCAGGTTGAATATAACATTTTGCCAATTTGAGAGGTACACTTCTACTGACAAGTGTCATATTTTTTTCTGGTTCAGCAATGTTTTATAATGCCCTGAAGATTTACTTTAGGGGTCCAAGGCTGAATGAGTGTACATTAACACCTATGTTCATGTAGGTATTTATATCACTCAACAGCTTAGTCCATGGCTTCGAGTCCGTATGGGTGCACAGGGAAAGCTCTCAACTGCCCAGATAGCTCTGTGTCATTTAGTTCTCTGGCAGGAATGGCTAGGAGAGCGGGAGCGACGTGCTGCCACATCCTCAGCCCCTGTAGCCCTCATCCATAAGGAAGGCAGGAGCGTGAATCACGGAGCCTTCCAGCCCGAGGCAGCTCCCGCTGGAGCCATCTTTACAGCTGCTCACTCTGGACTAGGAGACCACAGTGGCTTGTGGCTTAGAGCGTGCTTTTCCTGTTGTTCCTCCTCCTCCTAATCTAGGGTGGTTCTCTGAAAACTGATACCTGTCTGTGCAAAATCTGTTGGATGAAGCTATCATCTGTTTGTACAACTGCAGGTTTTATAGTCACCTTACTAACAAGTAAATATTCCCTCTCTGGGTAATAAATGGAACAGCAGGGTTTCAGGGCAGGTGAGCATAGTCCTCTGACTGGAAGGATTTGCAGAGAAATTAAGAGTGGACAGGCTCCTATTTGTACTACATGGGTCAAGTTTTCCAATGTCATGAGTGCTATGTCTTCCCAAAGCTACCTTCAAATCTTTCAGGCAATCTTTTTTTCCTCATTTGAACAAATAAGCATCCCACTGATCTTTTTTAATGTAACCAGCCTGTATTTGGCTGTGAGAGCCCAATTAATTAATAGTCTCTTTACCTCTTTGGGGCCATATGAATTCATGGTTTGCAAATAAAAATGATAAAAACTCTGTAAAATACACTTCACAATTGTCCCTGCAGATGTCTCGTGCTTCCTTTTTTGCCATGCCACTTCCCAGAGTCAGGGTCCATTTGCTTAGGCCAAACGCCATTTGAACGTGACTGAACAATATCAGGACCCGAGCAGTGGAAAGAAACATCAAGGGCTCTTTGGAGAAGTTTGTTGCATTTATTCCTATTTTATATGTGCTCCATATGTAGTTTACACTTGAGAACTTTTTTACTTGCTTTTAGCTTGGGCAACTAATAGTGCATGTTCGCATTGTCCTATTTTTTATCATACTTGTAGTACTTGACACAGGATTGTGGCCTAATGAAATGTTTGCAAAGTAATTCAGCATAGATGTGCTGGTTAGTTTCTTTGGTTATCTATTGGCGATATTCAGTTCCCACCTAGTTTGTTCAGCGCTGCTTTGGCAAACCGTCACAGATTTTAGCAGCAGGCAGTTCACGGTAATTATATCATATAATACACTAAGTAAATATATGATAAATGAGCAAATGTAAACCAAACAAGAAACGCAACCGTGGGGACTAACTGGGCCTGAAATTCTTGTGGATAAGCACAGCAGGTGAGCAAAGGGGTATGAGGAATGGGAGAAGAATTTCTTAGAGCCTGACTGCCACAAATATGCCAATGGAGCTGAGTCAGCATGGGAAGAGTGCAGTAATCTGCTGTTGATTCAAAAGCCAGTAGCTCACTGCTACCCTTCTGGGTGATGTGGAGAGCATTTGCCAGAAATGCTGATGACTAACCTTCAAGAGCTCTGCAGAGCTGCTACTTCTGCCGCTCTTCAACCCATCGCTTGTGCTGCTGCGTTCCAGGGACATTCCACTGGAAACAATAGCGTGGCACAGAGCTGCTGGAATAGCCACCAGTCAGCATCAGACCAGCAGCCAAAAAATGTACATGATCCCAGTCGTCTTTTTAGAAGTTGCAGTGTAAGAATCTGGTTGCCTTTCTGAATTCAGAAATGTTGCTTTCGCTTCGCCTTTGTCAGGTCAATATAAATAGCACATCTGTAATTTGTCTACAAATGAATATTTAGCAGTATAATTTATATTTCTTTTGTGTAGGATTTCTTATATAAAATATTCTTTTGCTGTGCTATTTCCCCAGCATTGTATCCACTAGAAACCAGGCATTTTTCTGCCTTTCTTCCTCTCATGCCTGTTTATGTTTTTCTGTATAGAAAGACATTTAGTTATTGTGTTGGTGATTTCTTTCCTGTTAAGTTATCTCTCTTCCTGACCGCCAGCTTTTCTCTGTTTTTACTGCCAGCTCACGGATGTTACGACTGTAGGATCGTGCTAACTGACCCCTCTGGAGTTTTCACTTCTCCGTGCTTCCCCAGTGATTATCCCAACAGCCAAGCGTGCAAGTGGATCATTCGAGCACCTCATGGATTCATCATACAACTAACATTTATTGATTTTGACATTGAAGAAGCTCCTGGCTGCATTTATGATTCACTGACATTAGACAATGGAGAAAGCCCGATGAACCTTTGTGGCATCACTGCCAAAGGATTATCCTATAACTCTACTGGAAATGAAATGATCGTGTCATTTAAAAGCGACTTCAGTATCCAAAAGAAAGGTTTTAATGCCAGCTATGTACGAAGTAAGTAAACTCAAAGCATTTCATCCCTCTTATAGTTGTTAGAAGAAAATGTCCTGTAAGGATTAGAATGACACTTCCCGAAGGAATCAAGTTCTCCATGAGAAGGGAAAGGATAGGGAGGCTGCAGGGTAAAATTACAGAGTTCTCTTATATGTTTTTTTTAACTAATTTCTATTTCTTTGCATGAAAATGAATTATCTTTTTCTGACGTGACATCAAGTGTGTTAGAAGAACTTTTCACATGCAAAGATTTTAGGCCTAACAGTGCCTCTCCCTGCAGATTTATGCAGCAGGGTTTGGAAGCAGGACACCTGTCCTTCAGGTCAGCATACCTGCAGAGGGACATAGGAACTTAAGGGAGAGACTGAGGGGGAACTTAGCTGAACCAGAAACAAGACCAGCCTGGACCTCTGGCCCAGTGGAAGGCCCAGCAGTGAGGAGGAGATTGTGCAGAAGGCAGAACTTCTCAGGGGTTCTTCCAGCCTCTGGAGCAAACTCCCAGGGGTGAACTGGCATTGCAAAATGGCGGCCTTTCATAGAATCATTATGGTTGGAAGAGACCTCAAAGATCATCAAGTCCAACCGTATACCTGGTACCACCATGTCCACTAAACCATGTCTTGAAGTACCACATCTTTCCTTCCAGTTCTTTGACCTTTCTTTCCTTTCCTTAAATACATAGAAATGCTTAGATTTTAAAAAGCCTAACAACTGCAAAAAAAAAAACCCAAAAACAACACAACACTCATGCTTTTTCCCCTAGAAGATAAGGTACAAATAATATGTGATTGATGATTTTTTGTTTTGTTGTTTAAAGCATTAGTTAGAAGTTGCTCTCATATGATAGTAAAGGGCGGCTAGGTAACAGAGGGATGATCACTTACAGGCCCCATGTGCTACTCCCTCTTCATTCCAGTTCAGGGTTATAGTTTTCAGTTGCATGCTCTCAGTAGGCTTTCTTTTTGTTGAAGTTGCACACCTTAGACTGAATACTAGTATTGCATTGAGCATTTACGTTACTAGAGGACGCTTATGTTCTGGTGGTTGGCTGGCTGCTGTAGAAACACAGAGCCAGGGAGGTTTGCAGTTATCTCTTCAGTCACAAGCACATCTTCCTCATGAATTTTTAAAAAATATTTATTGTGCATATCATAATATTTTAAAATAATTAAGGTAGTAATCCCCAGGAATCATAAGACAAAAGTAGTCCTGATTATGCCAGCAAAATTTGTGTGCAGTTCTGAAAAGGAAAAAAGGTAATGTCATATCAGAGGAGCTAAAAATACTTCTTTCTACTGAGGTGCTTTCGTGCTGACGAAATGAATGTAGTAATAATTCTAGGAGCGCTTGTTCTCTTCTGAAAGTGGAAGCAGATTTTCTGAAAGGTTTCTGTATTGGAAAACAGCATCTCTTGCTGTATTGTAAGAAGTTGTAAAATCAAGTGGATCATAAAAATGATAGGCAATTGGATTATGCAAAATGATGTATTTCTTTATTCTTCTTTAATATTTTAATGTTTAAGTATGATTATAAGGGATAAGATCACTTACAATTGGAATTGAAAGATGTAATATTGCCCACAGGTGTGTTCAATGAGGAGGAGAGGAAAGGTCCACAGACATAGAGAACCATTTGGGTATATATACCTATAGGTGATGTATTTTTATGAAAGCAAAAATATTACTTCCATGCCAAATTGAATACTACCTTATGTTCATGGGTAGCACCATTAAAGTTAAATAGTCTTGGAAGATATCCTTTCATTTTGAATAAGAAGACTACTCCCCAGTGTGCATACAGGTGTCAGCAGCCTTCACCAGTGACTTGTATTTTAACGTTTCACATATATATTAGTTCGGAAACTCTGTGTTAAGGCTTGCTGTTAAGCATCTAGACTAAGGCTGCTGATTTTATTTCATTACTCCAAATACGTAACTCTCACCTGAGATCGTGATTTTGACCATGGGTGCTGGGAGAGCTGGCTGCATGCATCTAGGGCAAATTATAACTATATTCTGCTTACTGCCCACAGTTGTGCAATTATGTTGGGTTCAGAAGATAGTCACAGTCAAAGATCATGGCAGTGTTTAACCCGGCAATGGATACAGAAAAGGGGCTTGATAAAGGGATGATAACATACTGCTTTCCTTTCAAGTTATAAAAGCATGTAGACAATAGGACATCAACACGCACACACACACTGAAATTAGGACGCATCTGCATGGCAGATGTCAGTGATAGGCTCTCCCGTCCTTGCAAAGAGTTCCCAAGGCCATTGGAGAGATTGCACGCCCCCTCACTTAAGGTTCCCCAATGGAGTTTCAAAGCTCCTTTGTCAAGCTGACACCATTGTTACTACTACATACATGATACCTGGGCAAAATCATTAATTTCTCCCAGAGCAAGGGGAACGGTGTTATATTTGTATTTTCTTTCATTTCTCAGAAACGATCATATGTAAATAATAAAATTAAGTCATTTTTGTTCAATTTTGAGTTTCACAAAGTAGTGCAAAGTTGGAAGGTAAAGGGTGATTCAAAGACACACAGCAATTTGCTATCTAGAAATGGCCTTTAAAAAGACATTAATGATATGTCCTAATATACAATATGTACACAAGACAAAATGTACATGGGGAAAGACAAATATAAGAAAGTGAGTTTTGGGAGGTAATTAGGCAAGAATAGAACAGCTTCTATGACTGTGACTACTCAGTTTTATGTAAGAGTGGTTTCAAACTGAGTTTCACAGAGCATGTCCTGGTATCCATAACAAGTTGGCTGCCCACAGAAATGTTGGCTTTCCTGGTTGTCACCTCCTGCAACACACCAACGGCAGATAGATGGGCCATAGCCTCAGCTGCAGTAACTCAGTGCAGCTTTGCTAGTCTTTGGGGAATTATGTCAATTTACATCCGTTGAAGAGCTGGCGTGTTAAATAATTTTCTAGTAATAGTTAACTGTGTAAGTAGTAGCTCCGCTGGTGAGTAGAAGTCACTCAGCCACCGAAAGGAGAGGAAGGAGAGCCAGCAGAAATGCTTGAGACAATGTCATGTAAAATTAACACACAGTTGAGTAGTTCTGCGGTAGCCCAGATTAAAAGCACAATTCAACAAAAAAACTCTCAAACATGTATTTGGTATGTAGGCACTTGCAGACCTCACTCAAGTTGATGCGTTTCTTCCAGCATCAGTGAAAGGGCAGACAAAAGCAGTGAAGCTGGGAACAGCAGAAGCCACCACTCAAGCACCAAACCATGCAAAAAAGCCCGTCAACTGGCAGGAAAGCAGTTTTCCCTGCAAGGGATTGTAAAATACAATCTAGGGACTCCTGGCTTGCTGATGTGTAAAGCGGTGTATGAGATAGGAGACAGTGAGCTGCAAGTAAGCTAGGGGCTCTAAAAAGCGTCAGAGGCAGGCTTCGTGTCGTCCCAGCGCTCCCATAAAAGCAGATGTGGATCTCGGAACAGTGAGCTGCCTGTTGTTGGTCGCTCCTGCTGCGTCCAGGCTGCCAAGGCTTTTGTACATTCTTCGTGAGTAAATAGCGATGTGTCCAAAAAAAACCCCTGTTCATTGTAATCCAGTTATCTTCCTAACAGAAACAATTTAACATCATTCCGAAAGTAGTCTAAACACTTGGCTGAATATTCCAAGAATATATGTATATTCTTCCTCAGAGAATAACAAGTTTCTCCAGTAACTAACATCTGAAATTCATCAGTACGACGACTGGCTGTGCAACTGTAATCAGGAACGAGGTCTGCACTTAATGTGGATGGCAGGATTCTGTTTTCTCCACATGGACAAAATACTTGTCAGTGTTGTCCTTTCACTGTACGGGGAAGGTGCCAGTGGTTAAATCTGCCAGATGAGTACAGCAAAGTTGAGTAGACTTGTTCAGTACCGGAGCAACGTCCTCCCTGTTTATTTATCTTCCTGTACTGTTTAAATGTGACCAGGTGGTCCATAACTCTCCTGACCACCCTAACACAGGCTGGACAGTGCTCATGTAAATGAGCTTGCTTCTTTTTCAGGTCTTGAATCCTTGTACTTCTTCTGGAACACTTTCCATGTTACATAAAGAAGCTTACGGTATAATTAACCTGTGAAAAAAATGCTCCTGTTTTCAATGGAGAGTTGAAAACATTTTCTATCTATAAAATTGTTACAACATACTTTTGCCCTTGGGAAGAAAAAAAAAAAATCTATGAAGTACATCCAGTAATTATAAAAGCCCAGTATTTTTCTCTCTTCCCTCCCACTCTCCAGTTGCTGGGTTGCTGGATAACATGCAATACTTTATGTTGTTTTACTGTATAATGTATTGGTCAAATTATGTCCTTGTGTATATCCAAATATGGTAGTTTGGAGCTCAGAGTCTTTGCAAGCAGCTGGCAAAGGGAAGTGCAACACCACAGACCACACAGAATCCTTATACCCCATATATCTGTCTGTTTTCCTGAGTGTAGTGTGACAGTCACCCTTCCCTCACATCTCTCACCCTCTCATATTGAATGAAAGATTTTTATTTCATTCTGAGAAGGGAACAGGTGTAGTAAGTAATGTATATGTTATGGCATCACTTAAATCCCAGGGGAGACTAGGGATTAACTACTGGGGCAGTTACTGTTCAGGTCTAGGGAAAACGAGTTTCACTTCCAGCATACACATTGTGAAAATGCGTAAAAGAATAACAGACGTTTGCTGGAGATGTGGTCTGCCACAGAACTGTGGAGCCAGAAGTAAAACTGAGGGCTTCTGGAATCTGGTCTTGTTGGCCTTGATGCCTTTGCACGAATGATAACCTGAAACTTCCTTCTGTGGAGAAGTGTACTAGGAGGATTTTGCTGCCATAAATGTGCCAATAAAACTGAGCATATTGACACTTTATTTTGAAAAATAATGTTCTCCAAAGTAGAGTGAAAAGAGTTGTCATAAATATACTCATGGAGCAAAAGCATATGTCGTGTGATGCTGTTTTTCACATCTGGTGACTGCCAGTTTGCTTGTGCAAATGAGAATACTTAATAATGATTAGAGACCAAGTAATTCTGTTCTGCCCATGCCTAAATACCCTTACTGCGTACATATTTGCAAGAGGACTAGCTGTTTCTAGATAGTTGTGCAAAATCCAAAACCGCTGACCGAAATATTAGCAAATAGTGAACAGCTTGGATATAAATATTCATGAACACACGACTGCAGTATTCAACCAGAAGGCTGATGAGGACAAAACGAGAGGATGCCTAATGCTTTGCAGAAACCCATTAGCTGAATTCAGGAACAAAAGGCTTCAGTTTGCCAAGGAATGTAATGGGGGCTTTCTTCTATTGTGATACTTAAAAGAAGCAAGGCCTGAACTTCATTGGTGTCATGCAGCCATGCAGAGAAGTAATTAAAATAATATATCTTAAAAGCAAGTCATACTCTGTTTTTCAAATAACTGGTTTATTCCATTGCCTAATGCATCCTTACTATACAAAAGAGTAGTAATTTTTATAAAGTGAGCTGAGGCAGAGTTCGAAGTTAGTAGTTAATATGTCTTAATATTGCTCTTACTACAACTTGAGGGGTTGTTAACAGTGTGTAGTGCGGTATTCTCCATGCCATTGAAAAGGAACTCTGCATATTTTCAGCTGAGTGCGCTCCCAAGCCAAATTCCCCTTTGTGTGTGCTATTGGTGTATTACAGTGATAGAAACCACCTGATGAATGTTTGTTTTAATGAATGTTACTTTAACCCCTGCTGCCAGTCTGCCTTTATTTCTATATGATGAGTTTATTTATTTGGTAATTTATTTACATGCTCTTGGTTCTAGTTGCTGTATCTCTGAGGAATCAGAAAGTCATCATTCCCCAGGTTCCTGACGTTGATGCTGTGTCCGTGGCAGAGACTGTCTCAATGCCAGAGCTTAGGCAGTTTACACTGTGCTTTGAAGCAACCAAGGGCAGCAGCGATGACGACGACGACTGGAAGGTTTTCTCCTACACCGACGCGTTGTCGAGAGAATTCTTCAGCTTTGGGAAGACTACAAAAGGCCATTTTCTGTCCGTCTCAGGCATGCAGTGCATCCTTGAGAATGCATTGCCCCGAAATGCAGACTTTTTCACGGGAACCTTTCAACAGCTCTGTGTCGTAGGGGATAGCTTCTCGGGCAGTATAGGTATATATGCCAAAAGCACCTATCATATAGTGTACTGTCCGGGTATCTTTGGCAAAGTTATCCCTGGAAATGGCAGGCTGGTGCTGGGCTCTAACAGCAATGAAGTGAGCTCTCTAAACGGGGACATTTACAACTTCCGCCTCTGGAATTTCACCATGAATGCGCAAACACTGGCCAACCTCAGCTGTGATGTGAAAGGAAACATTGTAGACTGGGAAAATGAATTCTGGAGTATTCCAACTTCAGCACTGAAAGCAGAAAACAATTTGAGTTGTGGTGAGTACGCCTTGCCAAATCTTTTTTTGCTTATTTTCCCCCCACACTTCTGCATTGTGCTGAACATATCATATACCAGCATGGAAAAAAATAGAGAGTTCCTGTGAAAGAAAAACAGCTAGGTCTTACCTTTCTTAGACTTTAGCTCAACTCTTACCATATAGAGAGGCTTTGAAAGGATATAGAGTTGATACCCTAAAGGAAAAGAAGTCGTCCACTAAGTATATTGAGTTGCTGCTTGAAAAGATCTGCAGATCAAGGTTTTTCCTAAACAGTTTGTCTGGTGGTCTTCTACTCACATGAAATGAGGGTAACAGGCAAGTACCTGCTAGCCTCAAGCAAGATTACAGTGGTCTCTGGAGCAAAAAAAAAGTATGTTAACTAACTGTTTAGTAAATATTTCTGTACCTGGCCTTTGATTAGCTAGAAGGAGCAATTGCCAGCCTTGTGCTGTGTATGCACAGCCAGCGAAAGCAGTGACAAAACAGCAATCCATATGAGACAGAAAAGTACGAGAAAAGATTAAATTAGAGGAGGCAGACAGGAAGGAAGAGGTTTAGATCAAAGTCATAGGGGTTTATCTTCTTGGTGACATATTATCGGTCCTTCTTTAAACTGGTAGTTACTGAAGGTCTTTTTTCCTGTAGATTACTCCAGAAGATAAATTTCAATACATTGTCCAACCTGTTTTCATTTCATGGCTTAGACACTTGCTTCTCATAAGTGTCCAGGTGTAATTTTTATATATGTGCATCTTATTACAGCTGGTTGACAATTTTCTACTGCAAGATTTTTCTTCCAGATTAAAAAAAAAAAAATCAAACTTGAAAAATCTTTGTCACTTTGGACCAGTGTTTTTTTTTTTTCAAAGAATGTTTTGGTTAGTAACAATTTCAGAGATATTTGGATAATTGTAAAATATATAGGGGAAGATTTGAATCGTGGCCAGCAGTAGCCTATACACACAGATATGATGCTTGTGAAAATCAACTGCTATTGAACTCCACGTCCACAGAGTTTGAGCCCTCCTATTGTAGCAAATATACATTTGTTTTAAAAAAACAAAGCAGTAAAAGTAAACAGTTACAAATATTGGTTCTTTTTGAACCATGTGGGGTCTCTTCATATCCAATGTCGTCCTCTCCCATTTTACCTTCTTGCTCCTCTTATACCTTACTACTTCTTAGTTTAAACATAGTGTGAATAGTGTCAATATAAGCATCTCCTGACAGAGCATCTGTCAGCGCTCTAATAATCTTTAGTTTAAAACAGAAGCTGGCATCATTAAGGTGTGCCAGTTTCTGTATCTAATAGCTCATGAGGGATTAAGGTGTCTAAAAAAACCATCTTGCTTGCTTTAGTTTACTCAAACCAAAACGTGAGGTACTGATTCACAGCTAGACTCGCTGGGACAGCTCTCAGCATGCCTCTGCTAAAAAGATTTAAGCAACACCTCTATAAAAACACGAGCAGCTAGGTACCTTCACCCCTCTACCAGAACAAAGAAAAGGCTGATCTAAACATTGAAGGCATTCTGGATCAAAAGGTTGTTGCTTTTCCATCAGTGCGAACTGATCTGACAGAAAATAACTTCCCAGAAAAATCTTACTCCTCTTACACCGTTATACCGTGAAGACTACCACAACACTTTTACTAAACAACCTACCAGGACCTTTGTAACTGTTGCGATCTCATTCGGTTTTGGCCGGAGTACAGGTCTTGTCCTTCTTTCTGTTAAAGACTGTATGGTTCTGTGACACAAATGAAGTAACACAGCTGTGGTCATAGAAACAATACACTTACTTTCATTTCACACCTTTATTCCTTGGGATGTCATTGTTCAGTGATTTCCTTACAGCAGAACAGTATTTGAGAAGACATACATTAGTGTTTGTATGTTAGGCCCAGGTGTCTATACAAGTCACTTCAAATGTATCTATATATAAGCAGGGTTATTTTCTCTAACTAAGCCTATGAGAAAACTAATTCACACTCACTAGTCAGTCTTTTTCTTTCAAAGAGGTTAAATCACCCCCTGTGATACAGGCTTTCCTGAACCAGACTATTTCCTGAAAGAAAATACTGGGTGCAGTGCCATTTCAAAAATGGTTACTAATCCCAGAGATGGAATTGTTAGAATTTTCTTCCCTTCATCTTCTTGAATAAAAGCTTTCATTGTAAAACCAGCCTTCAGCCAGGAGAGCTGATGAGTCAGGCTATCAACCATGAATAAACCACTGACAGTGTGGAGATGACTTTAACTGATTAAGCTTCATTTAGCAGCAATGGAAGGATTTATGCAGAAAAGAGGTTTTCACACAGCTCCAATAATGCTTCCCTAGGAAGTGGCATGTAACTTAGAAAAAAAAAACAAACAAAAAAACCCCCAAAAACCGAAAAAAACCCCAAGCATTTAGCAGTGGTCTCAACATAATCTGTGCCTGAACAGTGCTTACATTTTTCAAGGGGTATTATTTGATGGATTTTCAGACAAAGCTTTTACAAGTTTCTTATGGAGCATAAAAACACTGGCAAATTGTTCCAAATAATCTTTTCATATTTTTACTTTCTCCTGGTTTATTCCTTAGACTAATGTTTTCACAGCTGTGCAGTCATGGTGGGGTGTTTCTGTAAGACTTGACAGAATTCTGGTTTTATTGCCGTACCTTCCGCACAGCTTGCATTTAAAGGTATATGTACACAGCCTTGGTATCCAGACTAATTTTAAAACAAGTAGCCTAGGTAATGATAGCGGTGAAACAACACCAGTTCAGAGCTCAGTGCAGGCAAACCAAGGAGCATTTAATCAGCTTCTGGTACCGATTTTGGAGCCTGCACTGGCCACACCTGTAGTAGGATTTGACCTACTCAGTTTAAGGGTAGCGTGGCTGCACATCTGTCCATGCCTGCAGTTGCATTTGCTTTGTGTATACTTCATACGAGTTCTTCATTCCTGAAGGCCAAAGGAATTCTTAATTTTGCTGTCGGATTTAACTCAGGGTGGGATCTGTAGGCAGCTGAATGATGTTTCAGGCTGAGCTAATTGCCCTCAGTGCTGTTTATAAATAGTGGAATGAAAAAGGCTGTTCCAAATGTCAGTGCATCTCATACTGGAGATGTCTCGGTGAAGTCAGAAGTTTTTTGCCGTAGGAGTGCCTGTTCCTCTCCACTGACTATGAAGAAAGTCTAGCGTGACAAGCAGATACAGATGTCCGAGTTCTGGACGTTTGAAGCGAGTGAGATATATCACGCAAAGTATCTGTAATACAAGTCCATATCTGCTGTTCACATTACTGACCATGCCACTTGGCTTCATAAAGTAGCTTATGCCAAGTATCTCTTTGCATCCAAATCATGGTGTTTTCTTTAGTGGACACTGAGGGGAAAGTCTACTCTAGCCAGAATTCAACCCAATTAAAACTTAAAAAGCTTATTGAATAGGCTCACTGAGAATATTCCTCTTTAAAGTATCCAGTTGTGGTGGGTTGACCCCAGCTGGAGGCCAGGTGCCCCCCAAAGCCGTGCTATCACTGCCCTCCTCAGCTGGATAGGGGAGGGGAAAATACAATGAAAGGCTCTTGGGTCGAGATAAGGACAGGGAGATCGCTCAGCAGCTACCGTCATGGGCAAAACAGACTCGACTTGGGGAAATTTGTTGAATTTATTACCAACCAAATCAGAGTAGGGTAAAGAGAAATAAAACGAAATCTTAAGAAGCACCTTTCCCCCACCCCTGCCTTCTTCCCAGACTCTACTCCTGAATTTCTCCCCCTCCTCCCCACCAGCAGGTCAGGGGGACGGGGAATGGGGGTTGGGG